GAGTTCAGAACTTTGTCTGGACTGGGAGGGTAGGAGGACCTGAGAGGGAGGAACAAAAGTCGTGTTGTTTGGTGATGCCGAGTTGACCGGGCAGCCTTGGAAACCCTCACCCGGGAAGGCGGTGAGCTGTTTGCTTGTTTACAGCGAAGGTGAGAGTCAAGTTATCTATTGAGAGAGGCGGAGGGGGGAGGGGGAGTGTATCTCTGAGCCCGGCATCTACTTGTGGACTTAGTAGAGGCGACATGCTCGGGTAAAGTCCCTGAGCTTTGGCATGGTGTTTATTAGCAAAGTTAAGTGTGCTGCAAATTAATACCCACAGTGTCATTTATGAATGAGAAAGTGGGGGTGGGGTGGGAATCAACTTCTCCCACGTCTGGCAAGGTTCCAAGCAGAGGTCTTCCCTCTTCCGCCCCCCTTGCCCTCCCTTTTTCGGTATGTCGTACTTGTTTGTTTTTGGAGGTTCCCACTTTAGTTCCAGCCCACTGCCTGGGGTTGCAGTCCGAGAGGAAATGAAGGCTGGGAGTTCTCCGGGCGGCTGGCTGACACTTCCTCACGGATGCGGGAGCCTGGGCAGGCGCTTCCAGCCTCCCTCCGCGGGCGGGTGGCGATGCGCACTGAGCAGCCAGCCAAGCCCAAGCGGAGGGGACCACCGTGGAGTGATTTATACGGAGATCATCACCTGTATATGCTGGAAGGCCAAACCAGATTCCACCACCACTGCGCCCAATGGGTCTCTGGAAAAAGCAGACTCCTTAAAAGCCGAAAGTCTTGCGGGATTTTTAATTCCTTTCCTTGGAACCACTTAGAAACCTCTCATTGCAAGGGAATTGCAATGCTTTTCTCTCCAAGCGCAGAGAAATGAGAGTTTACGGTGTGATACTCTGTTATAAAAAGGTTAGCAGATTTGAAGACCCTATTTACCTGCAACGCACTCAGCAGAAGACCCGCCTGACAAGCAATTACTGTAGCAGCATCCACATCGTTAGTGTGATGGATAAACTTTCCCTCAAAGTTTCTAAAATATCTCCTTGTGCAATTTTAATAAAAACATGCACAAAAAATTATGTCAGTCTCCCCTTTATATGCGCTTTAGGAGAGCTGCCTGTCTCTTTTGCTCTTTTGTCCTTTTTAATGTTGAATGGAATTCAACAGTCTGGCTGAAGAAGGCCTTTTTTCAGTGCTGACTTTTCTGTGACTGAAACGCACATGTGAAGCTATTGCAATGAAAACAACCTCCAATGAGGAGAACTACCAGGGAGGAGTTAAGTTTCATTCATTCAGGAGTGCCTTCTCGTAATTCTAAGAGGCTTTTGCTAGGGGAAGCTGATCTCTAAGGCTTTTTGGAGGGGCGTGTCTCTTCAAGACAATAGATTGTCAGGTGTTATGCAACTAAAGTGAGGAGAGTCTGGGCCCGGCATTGTACCCAGGTCAATCCATCAATTACTGTTTAGAAAAATGGTTTTTCCTGTGTTAGAGTTTTATTGCTGTTTCCTTCTTACTGAAGTGACTGGGACCAGAGTGAGTAGGGGCTGTACAGGGTGGAGGAGGTGGTGGAAAGAGAATGGATGCAGAGGAGTGTCCCTGGCTTCTGTTGTGGTGTCTTTTCTATTTGACTTCATGGTTGTAAGTATTTCCAGATGGTGAATCAGACACCAGACGTAACAATATTTCCATATTTGGGTATAGCAGTAGCCTGCGTTTTTAACATTTTTCTGCCTGTTATCCAACCACAAAGCATTCTTGACAGCTTCAGATGTTGTTAAATATAGACTTAACTTCTGTTCCCAGAGCAGGAAATTCTTTGGAATTCCTTGTTTTCCACGCAATCTGTCTGTCATGATTTAAAATAAAATTTCAGTGGGTGATCCAACTGGCCTGTGCCTATACCTTGTTCCTTTATCGAAGAGGGGGTGGGGGCCGGGCAAAGAGATTCAGTGTGCTGCTTTGCAGGGGCTTTGCATTCAAACACGCACCATTCCAGGGATTCCTTTAAAAATCAGATTCAAGTTTTCTAACACGGGTGTGTGTGTTTGTTTCCTCTTTAACTAGGGGATCTTGGAGGAGGATATTCAATCAGAGGAGACACTCAGCTCACCTTACAGTCCGCTGCCTATGTAAAGCAGGACATGTGTTGTGGGAGGGGGTTTGGGGAGCGGTAGCAAACAGGGCCGGGAGGTGGAGGAGCTGAGCGACCCGAGTAACCTACGTGCCCAGCCTTCCCATGGACTACGTCGCGGTGCGTCGGCTAGTAAACCACGGCGCCAGGCGAGAGGAACAGCAGCTCCCCGGGTCCTGCTCCAGGACCATCCAGACACCCCAGACGCCCGGTCGCCTTCTCGCCGCCTCTGCAGATCGGTTCGCCTTGACCGAATGGAGGGGACGTGTGCAAATGCTTATGCGTAGGTGTTGCTCCGGTGCTAATGCTGCATGGCTCTTTTGCTCTATTCCTTCGCCCCTCCCCATAGGGGTGCCCCCCCAGGGAATAAGGGGCCGCCTTGTTCTCTTGGGCTACAAAGCTCGGAGAAGGAGCTGGCACCCCGGCTGCCAGGGAATTTTAGGTCACCCAGAGAAGGGTTCACTGTCTGAGAATAATAATCACCTTAAACCTGGTGCCTCCGGTTTCCTAGCCCTGCACCAGTGGTTTTCAAAGGTATGCATCTGAGAATCCCCTGGAGAGGGGGTTAAAAGAGTGATTGCTGGGCCCCATCCCGGGATTTCTCATTAGTTCCCTCTCTAAGGAGTCCCTAGGTCCTGATGCGGCGGCTGGTGCGGGAAGCCACACAGAGAACCACTGCCTGGGACCATCTGGGACTCACCTGCACACCCAGCCTCACGCCTCAAAGAGCAGGACACCTTAGGGCCGTGGTTCTCAACCTTCCTAATGCCGCGACCCTTTAATACAATTCCTCATGTTGTGGTGACCCCCAACCATAAAATTATTTTCGTTGCTACTTCATAACCGTAATTTTGCTACTGTTATGAATCATAATGTAAATATCTGATATGCAGGATGTATTTTCATTGTTACAAATTGAACATAATTAAAGCATAGTGATTAATCACAAAACAATATGTAATTATATATGTGTTTTCCAATGGTCTTAGGCGACCCCTGTGAAAGGGTCCTTCGACCCCCAAAGGGGTCACGACCCACAGGTTGAGAACCGCTGCCTTAGGGTGCCTGCCAAAGGCCACTTGAAGGCGCCGCCCCGCGCCTCCCTTTTTCTCTCCACACCCCTCCAACCCCGCACCCCGGCTCAGTGGAGGGATCCCGGGGAGAGGTGGAGGAAGCCGGGATGGCGGCGGGAACGGCCTGGCAGACGCGC